TACATACATACATACATACATACATACATACATACATATAGTGGGTAAAACGGGCGACGACAAATCTCCATTCATCAAACACCTCCTTTGGCCCTTCGACCGCTGTGTGAATTCGGCTTCTTTCAAGCAGAGTTTCCAGCGGTCACTGAGGTGCTGCGAGGACGTTTCAGACTGAGGCGTCCGAAATGCAACGTGCGGACACATTTCCATAAATTGTAATGTAAATGAAGGTGGTGTCCGCAATAAGGCGCATTTGAATGTGAGCCAGATATTTCGAAACACTGTGTCTTGTCAAGTCTAATAAAAAAATTGAGGGAAAAATCTGAAACGGATCTGTGATGAACGGATTGTTGACGGCACGTGTATGGGTATATCGTCATAAAACTTACCCATGTTGGAGAATAGTGGTCCGACAGGACAACCGCACTACTCTAGGTGTCCACCCACAGCTCCCCGCTGCTCCTTGTAGCTTTCTTCTGACTGAGATGCCTGAGTGGCAACATTACCTTTGACTCTGCAACGTCTGTGACGGGGTTCGAGTTCCGACGGTGGCGGATTTTCGGCATTGGCTAAATTGTTAGGTCGAATATTATTCATTGCTTGAAGGAGAATTCCACCGGTCGGCTGCTCTAACCGCTAGTTTCCCGTGGTTTCTCCGATCACAACCAGGGAATTGGTGGAGCAGTACCTTAACGAACGGGTCACGGACCGCCCGCAATCTTTTCTTTCTCATTCTTGTCTCCCACTCTCGTTTTACACACACGTTCATATTTACGTGCAATACACTATCGCTCATGGTGGGATATAAGTCGGAAGCTTAGAGCTTGCCCCGGAAGGTTCGGTGCCCTGCTTGTGAGATACCTAGAGGGGAATCCCCGCAAGCCGACAGCGGGGTCGGAACACCACATTCCTCCGGGAGCGCGCAGTACACTTACGGGACTGATGTCCATAGTAGTTGAGCGGAAACACTAATGGAACATTCAATCCCTTTAGTTCAATGCGGCCCTCCGCATGTTCCCACCGGTCCTTGTTCCCATTAGCGCTATCTCCTTCCCTGTTTTGACCATGCTATCCTTGTAGAAACTTACCGTTGTTGACATGTTTCCCAACGTCAGCGATGTCCTCGATTTTCTCTGTTGGCATTCGCTTCTGATCAACAATTAGCAATCAATTCGCTTCTGATCAACAACCTAGAGACACCAAACCACCGTCACCCATCACTTCTGCCTCTCTATCCTCTCACCATGTTTTAGATTATTGCGTCTGTTATTTTTTCTCAAGTTATATGCCTTTGATACCGAAGTACTACTTCTTTTACCACTGACATTGTCATTGGCATTTGTTCACACTGGACCGATACATTCCTTCAATATTTCAACAATATTTTCCATTCGTTCGTTGTTTCATCATTCATCTTACATGAACCCGTTTCTTTGTTGATACTATCTCCTTTGCCACTACATGCCGCTTCTGCTCCAAATTGCGTTAGTGGCATTCTTATTAGTATTTCCGTTCCTGCTGCCGCAGCCTTCCCTACCTCGTCACTGACACTTACCGGCCACTGCCGTTGCCCTCGCTACCGTTTTCGCCATCCCCTGCGACGCCATCGCGACCCTCTTCGCCCTCACCCCTCTCCTGCCCCG